ATCACTTTTCCCAAACCCTCCTCCTTTGTTCTGCTCTACACTGCTTTTCTCTCCCATTCACCTTCTCCCACTCTTAATTCTTGTATTATATCGACCAACCCAAACCCTCTCTTAGCAGGAAAGGATCCTTTGTCCATAGAAGGAAAAAGGTGGGGAAATTGGGAAAGGCAAGTACAGGGCTGTCTTCAGAAGGCTGGGAGAAGAGAAACAGCTGAGTAGACTCCTGTGCTAATTTTTTTTTAAATAACAGCTTTATAGATATGTGACACACACACAAAAGTCATCCTTTTAAAGTAATACAATTCAGTGGTTTTTAGTATATTCATAGACATGCTCAACCATCATATGAACTAATTCCAGAACATTTTTATCCCCCCCTAAAGAAACTCTGTACCCCACTAGTAGTCACTCTCCATTCCACCCACTTCTAGCTCCTGGCAACCACTAATCTACTTTCTTTCTGTCTCTATGGATTTACCTATTCTGGACATTTCATATGAATGGAATCATACCACATTTGATGGCATTTTGTGACTGGCCTCTTTCTTTTAGCATAAGATTTTCAAGGTTTATCCATGTTGTATCATAAATTAAGTCTTCATTCCTTTTTTATGGCAGAATAATATTCCATTGTATGGACAGACCATATTTTGTTCATCCATTCATTAGCTGATGGACATCTGGATTTTATCTACTTTTTGGCTATTATGAATTATGCTGCCAGGAACATTCTTATGGTTTTTTGTGTGGATATAACATTTTCATTTCTTTGGGGTGTATCCTAGGAGTGGAATTGCTGGGTCAGATGATAACTCTTGACATTTTGAGGAACCGTGATCATTTTTGTTCCTTGACCTGTAGAATGAGCTCAGTTTAACTTCCTTAACCTATTAATATGTTATGCCTTGTACTTAAAAGTCCTCATTAAAACAAGAAAGATGCACAGCTTCTTATTAGGTACCTGAAATTATCCCTCAGGTTGTCTCAGGGGTTATGTGCGATTTTATTTGGCACCACAGACATTTACTTCTGTATCATGAGATTTTAGAGAGACATATGGGCTGTTTTTATTAAAATAAAAATTACTGCTGTGGTGTAGCTCATTACTACACAGGGAGGCTGGGGTGCCAGGTATCATGAAGCTTAATATTTTTC